CACCCCTACCCTAGTTCAGTGATGCATTTAATTCCTTCAAGGGTTGGAATCTTCCTTTGAAGAGAGGGGAGTGGTCATTCAAAGTCACAAATACATTTAGCAAATTCACAATTACCTACTGATAGGTGTTCATGGTGGCAGTGTTTGATATATGCAAATAGAGTGCATTTTTCTTAATATATTCCCAGCAATGTAAAATGCTTGTGAAATGTAGTTTTTTTTCTCTTTTACCCTTTCATGGTTTTTCTAATTGTGTTAAAAAAAAAGCACACACACACACACACACACCAAAAAACAGCTCCTAGGAGATCTGCTCTCTCATCCAACTCTTCAAATGGTACAATACAGTATCATGAACTCAGAGCATGATTGTTGTACAGCAGCTCTCTAGAACTTTATCATCTTGCGCTTCTGCAACTCTGTTCACTGAACACCAACTCCCCTTTCCTCCACCACCGATCCCTTTCATTTTTATCCACAAAGCTCAGGAATGATGGGAGCCAAGAGGGAGGCATATAATCCCCAAATTGTTTCAATTTGTCTCCAGCCTGCTTGGCATCGCTTCTGACTTCAGCTGTGCTCTTACCCAGGGTGATTTAAAGATAAAGGTTAATGTTTATTTAGCAGTTATGCTTCTCTGCTAAGCTCTTTGAATCCCTATCTCATTTAATCCTCTCAACAGCATTGTGAGTTAGATACAGTTATTATCTTCTTCTATTTTAATAGATGAGGTAAGAGACTTGGAAAAACTGGGTGATATCCTTACCTTCACACACAAAGTAGTAAACTGAGGATTGGACCTCAAGCCCGGTGCCCCCAGAGCCTATAGCATTAGTAACTCTCCTAAACCCAATGTGAAATACCCTTTCCCCCTCCCAGTACACACATATACTCCCATCTTAATGTCAGGAAAAGCTGGATAAAGAATCAAAGCGAAAAGAAAGCAAAAGCAAAACAAAACAAAATCTCCAATGGAAACGCTTCCCTATTCACATGGTCCAAATCGCACAAATGCAGAACTCACGGACATCTAAAGGCATCGCTGTCGGTTTTATACTATATACATGGAACTAAAAATTAAGGGGCAAAGGTTGCACATTTCTTTGTTTCAGTAAAAACAAACTATCATAACTTCATAAGCATCACCTGCCTAGTTCATAAATTCAGTCCACAAACACATTTAATTTGGGTATAATTAAAAAAAATCTAATTCTACATGTTTAAAGGAAAGGTGTGCACCTTTCATGTTGGCAAATTCCTCACCACTCCTTGTCTTGCCTTTTTCTCTTCATTCACTTATTTTACCTGCTTTGCCCTCTTAAGCATTTGCATTTGAAATCTCTGCTTAATAGTAAAAATTGGGGTGGATATGGGATGGTTTTATTTACATATGTCCTGTATTAATATATAATACCTGTATTTTACCTTAAGAACAACTTCTGACGAGGTATTTGCTCTCATATTTATCTTAATATTATGCCCCCCCCCCTTTTTTTTGCACTAACATTTTATTTCCTCTTTGGATTCCTACTTATTTAATTCTTCTTAGTCTCTAGGCCAGGGGTGGCTATGAATGAGAGGAGGAAAGGGGCTTTCTTGAAGCTGTCTTTTTTTTTTGTTTTGTGTGTATGTGTGTGTGTGTGTGTGTGTGTGTGTGTGTGTGTATTTCTTAGAGATGCTTAAAAAAAGGATGAAGCCATGCTTCTCTGACTCCTACTTGCCCCTTGGTAAAGACAGTAAAATGCTGTGGTTTCAAGGTCAAGGAGGTGTTAGGGTTAGGGGCAGGTGGTGGCATTTGGGCCATTCAGAGGAGGTAGTAGGCGAGTTGCTTTCCTCCCTTGGGCCTCAGTTTCCTTGTCTATAAAACACAACTGACGATAGTTCACCTGATCTGTGTTGAGGGTTTGATAAACTAGCTGGTGACCTGCCCAGCATGGATCAAAATCCAGAACATACGGGTTTCTGTTTCCCTTCATTTCATTCTTCTCAGAAACTGGCATTGAATACAGACACCGCCAGTGATATCAAAGTATATAAAAGGATTTCTGATGAGAATGTCAGAGAAAGGTTGCAATAAAAATGTGCTCTTGCCAACAGAAGCTCTCTAAACCCACCACGCAGTGTCAATATGCCTTATGTATGAATTCATTAATGTCTGCGTGAGTGCTACTATACGTGGCATCCGTGTATGTGGGAGCGTGTATTTTGTGTGGCACACATAGACGCGGCATTTGTGTGTGGATAAATGTGCCTATGCAGGGGTGTGTGTGTATGTGTGTGTGCGTGCACCTGGAAGGAAACCGCTGGAAGAGACTACATTGCACTAGATACTTGATGGTACCCCTTATTCAGTATATAGTCACTCACGGTATATAAAACGAAGTCCGTTTATGATGTTGGTCTTATCTTCTAATTAAAATCATAGGCATGAGGCTTCTTTATACCTGCATAAAATAAGCAGTTTAATTTCTCTGCACCAGGGGAAAAACATTTTCATTGCCTGTTATGTAGCTCATGAGCACGTGGTGGGAAGCAAGTCAGGGTGGTGATGAAAGCTTCATTCCTCCTCGGTGTGTGTGTCCTCTCCGACTTGGGGAGGAGCACAGATGCATCCCCTGAGGTGTTCTTGAGGGTAGTGGGGGTGCTTTTATCTGCTGTCCCTACCCCTTCACAGTCTCAAGGGGGGGTTGAAGCTATTCTGTCTATGAAAAACCCATCCTTGAACATTTGCCCCCAATTATTCACATATGAATGAAAAAAATAATACTGCATCCATTCCTTAAAAATTTGCTGATAACTAATAATAATTTATTTCAACAAAGCCAAAGCAAATATTTGAGAAAAAGAAAGTAAGCTTGTTTTGGAAGCTATAAAGGAGTAAAAGAGGAAAAGGACTACGAATCCTCGCAGTGAAAGGGATTGAATCTGTTTTAAAGCTTACTTTATAATAGTAATATATACTATGGGTAACATTTAAAAAATGCTGCTATTTAATAATTTTATTTTATAAGGTATGGGAATGGTTTTTGGCTTTATTTTGTACTTTGGGGCCTGTGGTTCCCCCATGTGTAGAAGTAACCCTAATGACTGGTGACAGTATATCCAAAGGCAGGAAAAACTCTAAGAGGAAATAAACTCATTTGCTCATTCAGTCGGTCAGCAAACATGAGGTACTCGAAGAAGCTGGGTCTCACTGGATAATAAAGGTCAAAAGGGCAGTGATGCTGAGGAAGCCAGGACAAAAGTAGGGGGTAGAGTTTGTTAGGCTGTTTTAGGGATTTTAGAATATAGGAAGATCAATGATAAGCCATCTAGTGCTTTTATGTAGGGGATGTTGGAATAAGATTTGTTTTATAGGATAGCTGTTCTGGCCACAGTGTGACAAAGTGGATTGAGGGGCAGAAAGGGACAGCACTGAGATTGACTAGGGATGTTTTACAGTAATCCAGTGTAGAGATTATCATGGTTTGGACTATGGAAGTTACAATGGCAGGAAGAGAATAGATCTGATTTTAGAGCTAATTAATAGGTAAAATACATGGGGTTCAAAGACTAAGTAATTTTCAGAGGTGAGTGGGAAAGTAGAGTCAAGGATGAATCTCAGGTTTTTGGTTTTATGTTGAATCATTTGTAGAAACATGAGCTGAACCAGGCAGGACGTGGTGGGAGAGGGATAGGAGTGGGATCAGGTGCATTTTGGGGCATGGTGAATTTGAAGTGTTTGTGGACTTCCAAATAGATGAATCTGCCAGGAAGCTGGGTCTGAGACGTAGAGGAGACCTGAGATCCAGATTGAGTTTTTGAGTCATCCCCAGAAAGATGGTAATTAAAAAATAAAGAAAAGCTTGGAAGAAGTTGCTGAGGAACAGTGCGTTGGATAAAAGAAAAGAGGGTCTAAACTGACGGGTTAGCAGTATTATAAGGAGATCTGAGAAGGATCAAAACAAATCTAAAGGAAGACAAGATGAGGATGATGCTATGGAAGCCCCTGGAAGAAAACGCTGCAAGAAGGATGGAATTGCCATTGGTATTAAAGACTGTCAGGATTTCAACTGTGGGAAAGGTCTGAGTGTCTAAGTTCTGTCGGATGAAATACTGGTAAGTCAGTCGTGTGTTTAGTGAGAGCGATATCATTGAGGTACTATAAGTAGAAGCCAATCTGCACTGATGTGAGGGAGCTTCTAGGTAAATACTGAAAGGTCAATGATAATTATAGCGATCACTTGTAAGACTCTGTTATGCCAAGTGCTCAAAGCCATTTTCAGATATCAAGATACTCAATTGTTGCTGTGGAAACTGAGGCCTCTAGAGTTAAGTAGGTTTCCAAGGTGACTCATGATGAACTGAGAAGCGTTGAATTTGAATCTCCTTCCTTGGATGCCAAAGCCTTTGTGCTACAACATTCTGTCCATTTGGCTTGGGAATGATGCACTTTTTGGAGCAGCAGTCTTTGCCCCAGGGGCCGTTGGGGATATGGGCTTTGGGAGGTATGTAGAACAAAGAGATCATTGAAACCCCTTAGTCACTTAAATCACTCAAACAATTCATTTGGAAAGAACAAAACAAACAGTGGGATAAGATGGGTATCCTTTTCAAGACTAAAGGGCAGTAAGAACAATAGTGTGATAAGAATGCCTTGGAGAACTGAGGGAGCGAGGGAAGGGGCTGTGTGATGGTCTCAAGGTCAGGGGACAGAGGACCCTAAGAATATGCTCCCAGTACTTAAAAGATGGACATCAACAATGAAAGTACCTATAAGATGGACATCACAACATGAAGCCTCATTTGTATGCAGACCTAACATGCATAATATTCCAGCTCCATTCAGCAACGAAGGACTAAATCAGGGAAAAAATGCCAATATTTCATATAGAGACCCACATGCCCCTTTCTGTGCTGTGATATACAAGTACAGATGACTTTATATTTATGCTTCAATTTCTTGTATTTATTCTCTCATGCTAACTCCATCTGTATTTTCTCCCCTCTCCTTTCTTTAGATCATGCTTCTTAGTGATCCTGAAATGGAGAGCAGCATATTAATCAGCTCAGATGAGGGGGCCACCTACCAGAAATACCGGCTCACTTTCTACATCCAGAGTCTCCTCTTCCATCCCAAGCAGGAGGACTGGGTGCTGGCCTACAGTCTGGATCAGAAGGTGAGCACACACTGTTTTTATTCACATCTTGTCACCCAGGTGCCACCTGGTGAAAAGCTCTTGTTTACCTAGTCCTAATTTTGGAGGGTATTCAGTTACGTTTCATCATTCCCGCCGGGCACCTTTGGTCCACGGCAATGAACTTTCCTTCCTGCTGTTTAGTATCAAAATATGCAGGCAGGTATATGTCACTTATTGGCGGTGCTGTTTATCATTTCATAGGCTTAAGATGGTTTCCTCTATAATTTTAGTCATTTCACCTGAATGACCCTGTGAAGCAAGTAGGAAATGTGTATTCATAGCGATTTTATAGTGATTGTAGTAAATGCAGGTGTAGAAGGGCTAAGGTGTCTGTTCAAGCCTGCCCAGCCAGTAGTTGGAAGAGCCAGAGCTGGAATGAATGTTGTCAGATTCCAAGTCTAGGGAGTATTCCCGTATACCGCATTGAGTAAAATTTGAATATACCATTGTTCGTAGTTTAGCAAAGGAAGGAATCTCAAACATGTCCATTTTGTTGTTTTCTACCAGTACCTTTAAGATATAATGATCCAACAAGTCCTCCTCTTTGAGCTCAAGATCCATTTATCCAGCTGTGTACTTGACCTTGCCTCTTGTATGTCTCCGAAGGCTCTTAATTCAAGGTTTTCCAAAAACAGACTTCTGCCCTCCCTTCAACAGAGCCTATTCTCTTCCAGTGTTCCCTGGTATCCATGGTTGTATCCATTTGTATCCATTTGGTTGCAAAAGTCCAAGACGGAGGAGGAATTCCTAACACTTCTTTGTTCTTAACCTAGTATCTGTAACCTATCATTTTGTCTCCATCTCTTAATTCCGTGGACTTCTGTTTCCACCACTACTCAAACATCGGTCATATCTGTCATTTGAGTAATCACCAGAGTCTCTTCCAGTGTGTTGGTTCTATAACCCGAACGATCTATTTCCCAAATATAGATCTTTAGATCTCCGCATTTTTTCCTTGCTCACAGAAAAAAGACCACAGTCCTCTATAGAATCTGCTAGGGCCTCGTTATCTGGTCCCTCCTCTGATTTGACTACTTTTACCACTTTCCCTTGAATGGCCTTCTTTTAGTTCTCCCCAGTTGCCTCCCTGGCTCCATTTCCTGGGCCTGGAATCTTCTTCCCTGAAGGCACCTTCGTTGCTGTCAGATCTCAGATCTAATATCACTTCCTCAGGATGTCTTCCCTATAGTCCCTGACAAAGTTCAGTGCTGGATGGTGTAGTGCCATCCACTTCCCCTTCAGAGGGTGTGTCATGCATGGGATTTGACGTTGACTTACGTGATCTTCAAATTATCTGTGCTTCTCCCCAGACTACAAGCTCCAGGAGGGCAGGACCAGGTCTGGTTTTGCTCTGATGTAGCACCGGTACTAGCACAGTGCCTGGTACTGGATAGGTGCTCAGTAAGTATTTGTGTGGTGAACGCATTAGTGGAGGAGTGCAAAAGTGCTGTGGTCATGAGCCCGGTCAACTTGTACTTAAGAAAAGGGACTTTAGATTATCCTTCTTTGTATTTCCTTAGTAGAGAACCTTAGTACAAACTATTATGTAATCATGTTCAGAAATCAATCAGGGAAAGAAAATAGATAATTCTAAGCACTGCCTTGTGTAGGGATATCCACAGATTAACCTTAATTGAAATAGCTTTGCTGCTTCTCTCTTAAATCCTGAGACAGTGGCTCTTCAGTATGTATTTGAATATGTGATTGCAAGTGTGTATGTGTGTGTGTGTGTGTGTGTGTGTGTGAGAGAGAGAGAGAGAGAGATATGTCAGCACCTTTAAACAATAATTTCACCATAACCTTTATATCTCTCATTAATGGAGCCTCATGGTGGGTGCCGGGTGCTTAATGCAATCCCCTGAGGACAGCCACATGACATTTGCAAAGCACAAGCCATTGCAAATACATTTCTTTCATGGCATCAAGTGGATAGTGTATGAAAGACTTAGCCAAATGTCAGGTAGTCTGTGAGTTTGGATGTTTTTGTATTGCTATGAATTTTGAAGCTATACTGAAAAAAATAAATTTGGGGGCTATTGTTAAAGGCTGGATGGTAATTTATGGAGATGACACTCAGAAGTTCTAAAATATGTTTTTATTATTACAGAGACAAGCTAGATTAGACATCTCATGCCAAGAGGTTGATAAACCAAGTGCAGGGGTGTATCTAGAAGGAATATCCCTTTCCCCCATCTCCATAGCACTGAGAACATCTGGGGCATTGCTCATGAAGTAGTCTTGTGGGTATAACACTTTCAAAATACTTTCAGGCTTGGTGGCAGCTTTTTTACATAGTAAAAATATTTGGAAACGTGGCAGTGGGTGTTGATGGATTTTCCTAATCACACTGCACATTTCTGGATGTATTATTCCTTAGGTACACTTTCTTGTTGACATCTTTTGCATAAAGTGGCTGAATGTTCTTCAGGCCCATAAAGTTTCTAGCTGGTGCCCTGCCATTCTTTTAAATAAATGGTGTGAGGAGGCAGATGATGCCCCTGGCAACATTTGCAGAGTTGGCATAAAACACCTAGCCTCCATCGTCCAGGGTTTAGAAGAGTTTTTCTTTATTTTGGAATAATTTATTGGTTTAGAGTCAAGGAGAGGGATGTTATGCAGCAGTGGACGGAGAGTTGAGATTGATAAACCAATGTCTTATTTGAGACTGGAACCTTCTCTGATGTGCATGCATTGAGGCAGCTGGTTTCTTCTAGAGAAAATGAAAAGTGTTAGTAGGAAGGTAACGGCAGCATCAAAGGGAGATGTTTGTGGTGAGGAGTGAATCAGTGTTTCCATTATTGTGCCTTTGATGAAATGCACTAGCAATTTCTTTAGAATCGGTAAGGCTATCTCGTTATGTTGTATGTATTACAAAAGACCTAATTGAATGCTATTTTAAAGGGACAATATCCACTTGCTTTACCTTCCAGATTGCTACCTCAAAGCTGCAGGAGACTTGCCAGGAGATCTCACTGGGTAAAGGCACTGCTGGAGAATTAAGGAAGTGCCTTCTGCATAGAAAAAAATTGTAGCTAGAAATGGAGACATGCATATAACATTGTGTTAGTTGAGAAGCTGGATGGCAGGTTGTGAGTCAACTAGGAAACATGGCTACCTTGTACTGGTCAAGGTCAGGTTCGGGGAGATCACCCAAGCCTCCCAACCCCCAAAGCTGCAAAGGGGTGGGGAGGTAGAGACAAATGCACCTTGCACATGACCCTTTGGAGGGCCATGGCTCTTCACTTTTGATGTGTCATAATATAACAAAGTTATTCTTTTTTTTTAACGTCTTATTTATTTATTTGACACACACAGAGAGAGAGAGAAAGAGCGAGAGAGCACAAGCAGGGTGAGTGGCAGGCAGAGGGAAAGGCAGAAACAGGCTCCACGCTGAGCAGGGAGCCCTATGCAGGGCTAGATCCCAGGACCCTGGGATCATGACCTGAGGTGAAAGCAGATGCTTAACCAACCGAGCCACCCAGGCGCCCCTAGCAAAGTTATTCTGTTTCCTGTTCAACTTGACCTGGGCTTTTGACCAAGTCCTTCATTCTAGCTATCATAGGAGCTTCCCAATTCCTGCTAATTCCTGTGCCAGCTCCTCTTCCATCCTACAGATTTTCTTGGCACTTTGCATTTTGGTATAAAGGAGCTCAATACTTACTAAAGACGAGAAATTCTTTCTTGGCTATATGAATCTTTGAAAATGCTTTATGAGAATCTTTGCAAAACAACCGGCAAAAGTAATAGGTTATGGTTGATCAAATTGGAATAATAAAAGAAAAGCTACTCCTCTCCTCTCCTCTCTGAATCAAAGCCCTAGACCGTCTTTGGGGGGCTGTGTATTTACAGTTATTTGAGAGGCAGGATTCTCTTTTGTTTCCATCAGGCTATGGCCTCACTGATGACTGAAACTACACTCTGATGTTTTGGATTAGCTGGAGGACTCAATAATATTATTCCAACTGAGATTTTTTTAAAAAGACTTTAAGATTGGTTTTGAGGATGTTACAGTCCTCTAAATGGATAGGTGTTGTTCTCATTGCTGTAGAAAGCTGGATTTTTAAACATTCTTCATTTTGACAAGAGACTTGGTGTAGTTTTCTGTTTTTCTCCTCCTCTTCTTTTTTCTTTTTTTTTTTAAAAGTGGGTACATGCTCATGTATTCATGGATACATCCATCCTGGCACAGGGAGGGGCCTTCCACAGGAGACAGTGTTGAAAACAGCTATTTTTCTGCAGGAGAGGTGGAGTTACAAAACTCTCTATTATCATTTATCTTCTTGGCCAAATGAAACTTTAACAGATACAACTGGCTTTGGACATCAGAGATGAGGAACTCCATGGGATTTCACACTGTTGTTTTTCAGAGACTTCTGGGCTAGACTGGTCTAGGATTAACAATATTTTCAATGTAAAAGCCACTTCCTGAAACACTAACACATGTAAAGAAGGGTTGCTCTTGTAGAAGTTGGGCGGAGTGGGCTACTATGTGTGTTTTTCTGTCCGTTCATTTTGCTTTGTTTTTGATCACCTGCTACCAGTAAGTTCAATAGTAGTTGACAGACTGACAAGCAGGTTAAGGAGCTGATGCAGTTTGGGGCATGGTCACTGGCCAAACAGAGTCCACAGCTGAGGAGGTGATGGTGGTTCCATGCAGGCTTTGCTGGCTGGACCCCATCTGGGGTCCTACATGAACAGGGCACTGGCGAATTAGAGTATCTGGAGTGTGTAGGGCCTGAAAATTCCAAAGGAAGTTTAAACCCGTACTTCGGGAATGCTGGATACCAATGATGCTGTTCCTTTCATTTGTATTCTCTGGTAAACCCTCAGATTAGAAATGTAATTGTATTCAGAGCTCCAGGATTAGCAGGTGATGACAACGTTCCTCAGGAACCATTGGCAGAGACACGCTTTATATCTCCTCACCTGGTGGGGATAAAGCTGCTGGGGATTAACTAGGGATGACTGTGGTTTTGAAG